ATCAACATTTGGTGTGACCATCCTTTGCGTTTAAAGCAGCTTTTGCCCTAGGTGCACTTGCGCATAGTTTTTCAGGTACTTTATTATTTATTTATTTCACAATGTGAATTTATTTTCACAACCTTTTTTGATCATATTTACCAAGTGTACCAACAATTCTGACATGACTGTAATTCACAGAAGCTGTCTATACTGCAAAATGAACCTCTTACCTGCACTTTGTTGTTTATGATGAGATGAGAATTAGCTAGAGTGCACATTCAGTCCGTGCAAATGCATACTGAACAAAACCAGCATTTTCAGCAGTGACTAAACACCTCTGATTGGCTATTGCATTAATTCACTTAACAGAAACGTATGTGATTTGTTATAATGCTTAATGCTGCAAAAAAAAAAAAAAAAGTGTAAAAAGATGTAAATTTAATGCCACAACTGACAATTTTCATTTAATTTTCACATTTCACTTTAATTGTGACAGCCATATAGGCATAGTTTAATTGTACAGGGGTATATTTTGCCCCCTTATATTAAAGTTGAGGGACATTTTTGTGGCATTTTTGCCCCAAGCCCTTGTTAATTTCCGACCGTGGTGCTAGTTTATTTTTGCTATTAATATGCTACATTCATATTACCATATTTAGCCTATTTACCCACTATTCAAGGGTACAATCTGGAGCTGATGTTACTGACAGGCTCATGTTGCTGTTAACCCTCCTTCTTATTTTAACCATATTGGTTATACAAACATAAACATGGAGAACAAATCATGCTTTTTCAGTAAACACATTCAGTTAAAAATCGATGGATGTCTTTTGTTGTTATATTGCTGTTGCTAGTGTAGTGAATTTGCTTTCACCAACCTAGGGAGGTGAAATAGTGTAGTGATGGGTATGAATGAATGAATGATGCATTTATATAGCGCTTTATTATGTATTTTTGTACACCCGAAGCACTTTACAATCATGTGGGGTGGGGGTGGGGGGTCTCTCCTCAACCACCACCAGTGTGCAGCATCCAACTGGATGATGTGACGGCAGCCACAGGACAACGGCGCCAGTGCTCTCACCACACACCAGCTACAACAGGTGGAGAGGAGAGAGAGTCATAGAGCAAATCAAGTGGTTGGGTACTCACGTCACCAGTGATGTTATGATATTTGGATCATGTGTCACTTAAGGTGTGGTTATGAGTACATCACATAAGAAAGATTGGTGGTATCTCTAACTTGTAGAACGTCATTCTGTATCATCAACACAAGGAAGACACAAGTGTAATAAAATAAATTTTATTAACAAAAGATAGACTAGAGTAATCACAACTACTAAATGAATACCATGAATGAAAAAGGAATAAAGTGCATAAGATGCATAAAATGCAAGTGGTTCAGTTGGGTGTTGCTATGCCAGAGTTACGTTATCTTATGGAAAGATAAACTGTTGCTACTCTGAAACAAATAAGGTGAAGAAGCCTTATTATGCATCAAACAAATATGTGAAAGATTATTTATCAATTGCAATTAGCTATATAATATCTAATGTAAATTAGAAAAATCATATACTGATAATACACAACAATGCCAAGGTCTCTGGAAGACGTTTGGATAAGTGATAGTTACGTTCTCTGTGGTTGAGTGAGCAGTCTGGTGGCGGTGACTTCTTCCACTGGTTGAGCTGGTAACAGTGCATTGGGGAGCAGGAATCTCTGTTTTACACTGTAAAACCCGATAAGTTCAGAATACTCAAAATTTTTGTGGACACCGATTACCTAAAAAAATTATTTAAGCAACTCAAATTTTTAGTTAACATTAATTATAAATAACAATTAAGTCAAACTAAAAAGCTTACGTTTGTTTTTGCTTAGTGCTTAAGTGCAGTGTACTTAAAATTATTGTTTATCATACGTAATGTTTTTCATTTACCAATTATTTTGATGCAGTGGTGCTTTATTAAATACAAATACTAACTAAAAAAATACACTTATGCATAAAAAACACACACAACTGTGGCTATACAATTGAGGATTTTTTATTCAACCTTTTTTAAACTGCATGAACTGTGTATTTCTGACTGTCAAACACTGGAAGATCATCTCATCACAACTGCAGTGCTTGCAGGACTTGTAGTGGTTTCGTTGTCCATGATAACAAAATCAGCAGGAGAGGTGTTTGTGTCAGTGATGTCTGGCTCGCCCAATTCCTCCTGGAATAAGCACAGAGGGTAAAACTTTAACTTTAACTTCAGAGACTAAAAGTAGACATTTATATTTTAAATTAAATTAAGTTTATGCATTTAGCAGATGCTTTTATCCAAAGCAACTTATAGTGCATTCAGGCTATACATTTTTTATCAGTATATGCATTTAGCAGATGCTTTTATCCAAAGCAACTTATAGTGCATTCAGGCTATACATTTTTTATCAGTATGTGTGTTCCCTGGGAATTGAACCCATGACTTTTGCGCTGCTAACGCAATGCTCTACCACTGAGCCACAGGAACATTATATTACACTTAACATATTTACTGCTAATAGAGTGGGGGAACTATAACGGCAGAACCCGGAAGAGTAATTCACCGTGGGTTCCTTCTAGATTTTCCTATGGGGTTTTATAATGGGGTTTTTCAATTAAAATAAAGCCTGTGGTAAACATAACTTGACAATACTTTTACGTTTTGTAACACACGTGATCTGTTAGTGTCCCTTCCCTTTCGGGACTCAAAACTTTGTTGTTTCTGTTACTGTCTCTCTGGACGTGCCGGAGACTCAGAACAAGGAGTGTCTTTTGGAAGGGTACCTTTATCCCTTCCTGATGAGGATGAGATTGCAATTTGGTGCTTCTCCATTTCCATGCTGTGATTGGCTGTTTCCATCAGAGTGGGGGACACGGTGTGTCCTTTCCTCCTTTCCTCCTGTGGAATGTATTTGCATAGTCCAAACACACATTTAGAAAAGTGTCACTAAAGTTTTACCGGTGCATTCTTCACTTATCAAACCACAACCAGAATACCTTTGGCAATGTTATGAACACATTATGTCCAAAAATGATCGAAAAAGATTGAACTGTCGTGCATGCATGCATTCATTTGTCCATTAAGAGCTGAATTTGTGTAAGATTTTGCACTACACATCGCTGTCACTCAGAATACTTATTTCTCTGAATAAATATGAGATGGGTGTGTTGTAGTTTGCATCAGTTTTAAGGTTTAAAAACATGGATTTGGATGGATCTCTGTGATCTCTCTTTGCTTCACCCACTGCTGCTGCGTCCAGAGGTCATAAGGAATTTTTATTGCAGTCACAGGCCAAAACTTAGGAATCAGTCTCGAGGTGGGTGAAGGGCAGAAACTGCATTTTGACCAATGAGAAGTCCTGTCCTTCCCGAGCTTGGTGCCAAAGGTCTTCTTCTTGCCCTCTAAGAGGTGTCTGGCTGTTATCCTAGCATCTTTATCAGATAGCATTGGACAGTTTGCTTATGTTAGTCCTACAAGATCCAATCAACATGTAGCAAACCTTTGTCCACTATTGTGGTCAGAGAGGAATGTGATGTCCACTACACTAGCATTTTATATAAGTCACAAGAACTGTGGCACTATGTTACAGTGCTTTTACCAGAGTTAAGGAGGTTTCAGGCATTCACATTTAGATAATTTACTTTATTACATTATTGGCTGCAGTGATGGTACATATCTTCAACATCCTATTGGATCTTGACCTTTTTGTCTCTGTTTTGCAGTTACTCTGGGGAGAAACCAGCCCCTGAAGAGAGAGAAGCCCAAATGGAAGAGCGACTACCCAATGACCGATGGGCAGCTGCGCAGCAAGCGTGATGAATTCTGGGATACAGCACCGGCTTTTGAAGGCCGCAAGGAAATTTGGGATGCACTTAAGGCGGCTGCCCAGGCCTTTGAAAGCAATGACCATGAGCTTGCTCAAGCCATAATTGATGGTGCCAGCATAACATTACCACATGGTAAGAGGCTCACGGCACAGATGCACAGGTGCTTTGCATTATGTATTCAGATCGTTTTATTAAAATCGTCTTCCAGATTTTGTGACAATCCATTTTCTTTTTGATTTCTATTTTTCTGTCAGCTTCCTTTTCAGTCCCCTTCTTTTTTTTTGGGGGGGGGGGGTGTCTTGCTTAGTTGGGGACAAAGAGTCGAAAAGTAATCAGATCTTGCAGTTTTTAAGGCATTTGTGTATGCAGAAACACTGTTATTCCACGCAATTTGAAATACATCTGGTTTTGTTTTATTCCAGCTGCACATTTTTTTGGGCTGTTCTCTTCAGGCCGTGAATGAGCTTGTTATATCATGGCATCGGATTGTTTTCCTTAAAGGGATAGTTCTCCCAAAAATGGAAATTTGTTGTTAATTTACTCACCCTCAGACCATCCAAGATGTATGTGATTTTTTCTCTCGAGTAGAACAGTAAAGAAGATTTTTACCTGAAATCATGGTCCTTAGTGATTCATAAAATACAAGTCAGCAGCTATTGTTTTTTTTTTTTGAGAATAACAAAAAACAATTCAAGGAACACAAAATTAATAGCCATGACTCCTGATGATATGAGGAAGTGACTTCCGGCGAAGAGAACGCTGGCGCATTGTGGCTGCCGCTTCTTCGTCCGGTTTATGTTTGTTTGGTTGTTTGTTTTAAATTGTTTTAAATTTTACTATTTTACACATTGTTTTGTATCATTGTGTCTGACACTGGCCACCCTGCGAATTTGGATTTTACCATGTGGAATTACGTGGTGCTTGCCATCGTTCACGACTGCTACGTTGGTGCTCTCGGTTCCGTGAGTCTGACCGGAGCTTGACATTGCTTCGTGTCTTGGATTTTGTACTCCTTCTTCTACGGTGCTGAGTTTCGACGTACTTGGATATTACTTCGTGTAACCTACTGGATCTATTGCTCCTATCATGCGCATCTGCTTGATAACCATTGTCATCTTCATTTTAACTCTGACTGGAGTGTGTGGTGAGCGGATCCTTCAGCACTTGGATCTTGACAGGATAAGGTACTCTGTTTCTGAACTCCTTTCATTGAAACATGAATTGCCTCCTGAAACTTGTGTTCAAAGAACTTTACGGTCTCTTCAGCTCCTGCGTCGACCGAAGTATTGTCACAGAGGGTCACGGCGGAGTTTTTATACAAATCGTGTTGGAGTTAAAGTTTTCTGTTCCAGCTCTGTGCGTCTCGGTATTCAAAAGGTTTAGGAATGTTAAGAATATTGATCCTGATAGTTTCTCACGTCTGATTTCTGAGCATCCAACAAGTTATACTGTTGATGACTACAGTTCCATTTTATCATCTACCTTGGATATCCTTGCTCCTATGAAGGAACGTGATGTCTTATTCACGAAATCATCTCCTTGGTATACAAATGAGCTTAGGGCACTCAAGGTTAAAAACAGGCAACTTGAGCGGCAATACAAAAAATCAAGCTTAACAGTTCACAAGCTTATGTATGATGAACATTTAATTCAGTACAGTGAGGCCCTTAAGGTGGCTAGAGCTGAATATTATTCGCGTATTATAAGTGATGATGCTGGAAATCCAAACAAGATTTTTAAGACTATTAACAAAATTTTAAAACCAAACAAGTCACCCACATGCTCTTCTGTTCAGCAGTGTAATAAATTTCTTAATTTTTTTGAGGATAAAATTGAATCTATTTATAGGTCTGTTGGTTCTCTCCCTAGTTCTGCGCTTCCGGAGGTTCTTCCACCAAGTATTCCTATGGTTCTGCTTCGTTCTGCTGATTCTCTTCTTCTCTATCAGCCCCACTTCAGATTAAAAACTATGGGACAGAGAGCTTTCTCTCGTGCCGCTCCGAGATTATGGAATGCGCTTCCTTTAAACATTCGAAGTGCTCCTACACTAAGTACTTTTAAGAAACTGTTGAAAACCCACCTTTTTAAAATTGTCTATTATGATTAAGTTGTATTTACATGTGACATTGTTGTAGCGCTTTGGGTTGAGAAAAGCGCATTATAAATAAAATGTATTATTATTATTATTATTATGATATATTGAGGTTTTATAAATCGAAACAATCGTTCTGCGTGAGAAACTGATCATCATTTACATCATTATTACCTATAATCCATAGTCTCAGGCAATGGGGAAATAGATTATTTTCCGTAAACTGGTTCTTCCAGAAAGTTTGTTTCAATTAACTGGTTCAGTTCACCTGTTTGTTTACGTAATCATGCAATTTTGTAATGTATATACAATTATAATATTAAAGCACCCAATAATGATGTGAAATGCGGTTGTTTTGTTGTGATGTCTAAACCATTTAAAGTGAATAAACTAGTCTTCATCAGCTCACCTTTTTACATAAACAATGAAACCATAATAATTTTAATTTCACAGCTTAATTCAAAGTGTTACTATGTGCTGAACTATTTTTAGAGTTTACCACAAAAAAAATGCTGTTTTATAAGAAAAGTCACTGACATTTTGCGACAGGTGGGATTCAGCTTACAGCACTTCTCATTCATTCCTATGGTAAACAACGACTGAGTGGTCATTTGATTTTTTGTTTAATATTGAAAGTAGAAAAATGAGAAACGGCTCCTTTTTAGTTTTTTCATTTTTTGCAAAAAAACGAAAAACAAGAACTCAGCTTAATTTTTCATTTTTCGTTTCAGGGTAGAAAAATGAATAAACAGCTTTAATATTCGATTTCTACACGTGGGCGGGAATTAAACGCCCCTTTCTGCTGATTGGTCAGACAAAAAAAGATCAAACCGTGCCGTCATCAGTTCTTCCGCAGCTCCACGCGGCAGAATACTAGTCCTCTGCTGCTGCAGTTGTACGGCTTCTTAAACAGTTTTATTGCAACTGCATTAAGTACAAACAACCAGACAAATGAATGGCTCGACACAACCTGTTCTGTGGCAGAGCCTAGACAGGGCTTTCTTCTGTGTAGATATAAATTCTATGCTTTGCATCAGCTTGGCATGCCAGGGTATGATATGACAGCTGTCATAGCCTGGTGACCGTGATTTCACCAAGTACAACATGTTCCTGGATCAACATCCTTGTTGATCCTGGAACAACATTCCAATTAACCAATCAGAATTGAGGGATAACTTTTTAGGAAATGTCTGTTTTAGGCTTACAATCAGGGTTAGGTGCTTCTACACCCTTGTTAATCAACTATCATTTCACACTGATTTTAGGAATAAATTATGGGTAGGGTTAGGTTTTGTCTATATGTTTGGACAGTAATGTTGATCCAGGATCAACAAAAGATGTTGATCCAGGAACATGTCTTACTTGGCAAAATCACGGCGACCGTCATAGCCTACCCTGGTCCCCCAGTAAGTTTGTTTGTTTAATTAAGTAATTAAGTAATTAATTAATTAATTTGTTTCCAAAAAATAATATATTTTAAACATTAATACAAAAAGGAAAGAATAATGCTTTGGCTTGGGTATATACAGAGCTGGGTAGATTACTTACAAATTGTAATCCGTTACTGATTCCAAATTACATGACAAAAAATGTAATCAGTAACGTAATCCATTACATTACACATGTTAGGTGATATAGTCTGATTACTTTTAGATTACTTTTGACCTAACTCGTTTATCACATTGATTTAAACAGGATAATCATGTACCATAATGATGTAAAAATACAAATAGTAAGAAAATATATTCCTTTCATTGTAATTAACAACATGAAGTGCATTAAACATTATATTACGTCAGGGTTTCCCAAATTGGGGTTCGTAAAGGAACTGCAGGGGGTGTGTGTTTAATGAAAGGCTAACAAGTAATTAAATCATAAAAATGTAAAATTAAAATAAATCATACACATAACAAAAAAAAGATGAAATATTTTATGTTTACCTTCACGCCAAATGACCATTCACCAATGTCAGAGAACCATTAACATGCAAATGTGATACTTAATTATTAAAATATTTATTTTAAAATCTCAGGGGTCCTTAAAGGATCACTGATTATGATTTCACTTTTTTAACTTTAGTGTGTAATGTTGCTGTTTGAGCATAAAAAACATCTGCAAAGTTACGATGCTCAAAGTTTTACAATTGCTGATTAACCACCCCTTTAAAGTAAATATGTTAGGTGAAAGAGGTTCAGAGGACAAAGAGTTTGAGGATGTCTGCAAATAAGAAAAAAACGAGAATTTGTGCATTTTAATGAGCTTGAAAGACAAAAGCCTTTAAATAATACATAATAATACATGGTTAAACAACCTATTGAGTGATCATTCAAATAAAAATGAATGCGTTCATCAGTAGTTGATGCAATGTTGAAACACTTCTTAAACCTGAAATGATTTTTGTAAATCCATTGGTCAAATGCTGTGTAGCCACCGGACTAATGACTGATCTCTGTCCGAATGTCCACAAAACTGGAAGACTTTCTGAGTGTATATAAGCGGTAGACTATTTTAGAAAGGAACATTTAAAAGATAAAAAAAGAGGAATTAGAGAGAATAAATCAATTATGAATAATTTATTTATATTGTGTGAATAATATGTAATCATGCAATCTATAAAAAAGTAATTGTAGTCTGATTAAAAGTATTTTAAAATGTAACACTCTAATTACAAGTGCTTAATTTTTGGAATCTGATTATGTAGCCTAATCCCGATTACACGTAATCAGTTGCTACCAAGCTCTGGGTAGGCTATATCAGAATCAGAATCAGAATGAGCTTTATGCCAGGTATGTTTTCACATACGAGGAATTTGTTTTCATGACAGAAGCTTCCGCAGTGCAACAGAATGACAGCGACAGAACAAAAACACAGATAATAAAAAGAAGAATAAAAAAAAAATAAAAAATAGAACAAGTAAATAAGGAATAACAATATATAAATTGACAATTGTATGTGCAGGTATATTACAATAGACAGTTTTGTATGTACAGGTATATTATGTGCAAATTTGAGGTGTAGACTAAGTATGTGTGTTAGATAA